ACATTTAAAGGACTGAAGTCAAGTTGCCCCATCCCCAAGCTGGGGGGATGAATGCAATTTCGAAGCAGAAGGGAATATACTGGTGGAGGAGGTGGATATAGGAGGTTGATTTTAGAGTTAAGAGATGGAATCCCCTCCATTAGATGAGAGGGTTACCTTAAAGACAAGGCATCCAATGCCAGATGAAATAGGTTTTGGAAGATGAGAATGCCACCTAGTCCTCAGCTGAGACTGAGAATAGATAAGGAGGGTTGTGAGCAGGTCAAGAGAATTCGTAAGTCAGTAAGTTGGGAACAGCTGCTTTAGGGAACACAGGAGGGCTCAAGTAGGTGATTAAAGGAGATTACAGGAGGCCAGTTAGCCTGGGAGCCATATAAAACCTGCATTTCCTGAAACCCGGTACTAATGCTTTGGAAGTGAGTCACGGTAGCTACCATCAAGCATTGCTACGTGGGAAGCTGGCAGGAAAGGTGAGGGTGAAGCTGGGATGCTTTTGTTGAGGGAGGGTCTTAAGGCACTTGGCTGAAGCAGGGGGTGGACAAAACACTGCAAGCCCTGCCTTTGGAAGCGTCAGTTCTCATAATGAGGAGATACGGGAACCACCATCTTGGGGGTGGCAGGTAAAGGTTTGTAGAATTGAGAATGTTAAGAAGATGAAGCAATAGATTTTTTTTTTCTTTTAAAGCTAGCAGACTAATCTGGGAATCCTTTGAGGTCTTTTGAAATATATACTACTACTATATGAGGACCTTAGGTTCTGAGACTATCACTGAATTTTCCTAATCACATTCAAATTACTTAGCTCCCTTATAGCAGTTATAGTATCACCTAACCTGTTCCTTTTGAAAGAATGTTAACTTTTTTTCATTGGACTCAGGATTCCTCTTAATTTCTGTACTGTTTCACTTTTCCAGTTAGTTGTTCTTCCTGCACCCTAGAGATCCTAAACCACAAACTGGTGTCCTTAAAATTTATTTCACATTAAGTACATGTGCTCTCACTTGCCAAACCCATTTAAAATAGTTCAGTGGAAATTGCCTTAGAAACCAAACAGACGGCTCCTGTGTACTAGGGGAACAGGCTTTCCCGAAGGGCTCCTAGAGCTTCTGTATTGCTTGCTGGCACAAGACAGGCCTGACCAGGTCCATAAGTGGCTGGCAGTTAGACTTTAGGTAATCTATCCTTAACTTAATAGATGCTGGGTGTAATCTACAGATTCTGCATAGAAACTGGCACTTACCTGGGAGGTTGTTCTGCTAGCTGTCAAGTGCCTTTCCAAGCAGTTCTGCACTCAACAGTGCAGCTTCTAGGTGAATTAACAGTCAAGTCACAGTCATCTCAAGGTAAGGTTAGGGACAAGGGTTGGGCGATGAAAGATTTTAACTAACCTGCATACTGTAGCTAAACTAGTTTCCGGAAACACTGCATAATATGAATACGGAATGAAGACTGAATTGCTTGACAGTTAAAATTGGCTGTTGGCATTTTTAAGTCAAGGAATAATGTATTTATAAATGTAGGAAAACTGGCCAGGCGCAGTGGCTCACTCCTGTAATCCTAGCACTCTGGGAGGCCGAGGCGGGAGGATCGTTTGAGCTCAGGAGTTCAAGACCAGCCTGAGCAAGAGTGAGACCCCCGTCTCTATTAAAAAAAATAGAAATAAATTAGCTGGACAACTAAAAATAAATAGAAAAAATTAGCCGGGCCTGGTGGCACATGCCTGTAGTCCCATCTACTCAAGAGGTTGAGGCAGTAGGATTGCTTGAGCCCAGGAGTTTGAGGTTGCTGTGAGCTAGGCTGACGCCACAGCACTCTAGCCCGGGTAACAGAGCGAGACTCTACCTCCAAAAAAAAAAAAAAGAATTGTAGGAAAACTAGACCAAGAAATGAGCCTTGAGCTGTTATAAAACCAGGATTTAGTGCTGTTGGATTTCAATAATGTATAGGCCTACAAGGTACATAAAGAGGAAATGTCAAAGGGCCAGGATGAAGTTTTTCTTTAACCAGAAACAATGGGCATGGTTGTCTTAGGATGAACCATATGAAACTGATAAGAAACCATTTTGATCTACAAAAAATAGCAATTTCATTTGGTTCCGATATGTATTTCAGATCTTTGTCTTTCCGTTGTGAAGAAGATATAAAACTTTACAATATATATACCAGAGTTAGTTTCATTGAGATCTGTATTACAATAGTTTAAAAAACTAAAAATGAAAATGACTTTGGGTCCAGGGAGTCAGATATTCAGTCCTACGTTAGGGAACAAATCTTTGCTAGGTATAGAACTCTGAGAAAACTGCCACAGTTACCACCCTACTAGCAACTTAGTTTCCAGGACCCATAACATTTGTCAGAAACCCTACCCACTTTCAGTAACATTTATATTCTCATCCTAAACTGACCCAATTTCTCATTTATCAAAATGGCTGTATTGCCTTCTCGAATTACAACCAAAGGGGGAAGAGCAATTTTAGTGATACTTATTCTCCCCACAGATTCATGTCCAGTGTTCCTCTCCCAACCTTTTTAAGCCTTGACCACTCATTTATGTTAGCATTTCTGCTAATGACTGGCATATGATAGGGTGCAAACCATCTTGTAATAAAGCGATTCATATTTTCCTTCTAAATTAAATCAGATCACTTATCCTAATCAGCAATTTATTACGAACAAAATGATCAGTTATTTAAAGATTTGACCTTAGGCAATCAAGAATTAAAGTGGATGAAAATATAGCAATACTGTCAGGATTCGGTGAGAATTGCTGAAGTTAAGTGGTTAGACTCTTCGTTCTAAAGAAACCTAACAGTGACTTGGTATTATTTTTAACTGAAATGTAAGTTTGAAAGCAGCATGTTGGCCAGGCACGGTGTCTCACACCTTGAGCCCAGGAGTTGGAGGTTACAGTGAACTGTGATTATAGCCACTGCACTCCAGCCCGGGCAACAGAGCTAGACCCTGTGTCTTTAGAAAAGAACAGAACGCGTTAAAGTCAAATTATGTGGCCTGTTTTAAGTCACCCTCTTTCAGTAACCCTAATTCTAGTTCTTGTCCTTCCATTCTCTTTCCCGTTTAACTGTTTGAAAACCTCGAATACCTCTTGTTCTAATTCTACACTTGTCCTGTAATTCCTTCCTCTTTGGTACATTTGACTTAAATTCTAATGTGCTCTTCCCTCTTAGGCACAATAACCAATTATTCAAAGATGTCATCTAACATACTGTGCCACTAAGAACTGTGACTACTGATTTAAGTGTAATAAGTTATCTTCAGGTTATGAATGGTCAGTTTAAAAATGCTTTAAGACATATCAAGACTGACTTAAAACATTTAAGGTAGGCAGAGATGTAATGCTATGTGAATAGAAGTGTTACAAATGCACTAGCCATATTTTAATTAAAATAGATTTATTAGCTTTCTTTTAATATAAACATGAGAAATAAAAACCACATAAATGTAGCATTCTTTTCAAAATAAAACTGCAATCAATACTTGAAACTCCAAGCTCTGAACAATGTTTTTTTGAGGTGGTAGATTGTAATGTCATTTATGTCTCTGTCCTTTAGAAATGATGGAGCCTGCAGCACTCAATGTAATGTGAAGCATTGCTGTATTGAGAGGAAGTATTCCTGGCCCAGAAATGTTTTGTTTACAGGCAAGATTCCTAGGATTACATTTGAGAAAGTAGGAGAAATAAATTTCACAAGTTGAGAACACTAATCTTTTTTCAATATTTCAAATTTAGGTGACATTGTTACCAGTCTTCTAAAATTTACTCCCTGCCCTTTAAAGCCTGAAGTAAGTGTTCCTAAGGCTTACGTAAGTTCTTTCTTAAATAGCAGGTCTTAACCTGGCTGTAGGTGTCCCATTTTAACATGTAGAATAAAAAAGCTGTTTCATATCACCTACTACTATTAGGGTCCAATTCCTTTAAATTTATTAAATATAAATTAACACTTCTCTTCATAATCTTCCTTTACCAAATCTAGAAAAAGAAACTTAGGTGGGTGATCAAAACAGGTAGTGCACAGTCCTACGAGGAACTACTTTTAAAACGGGTGCTTCTAATGGAGATACAAGGTAATCCAAAAGTCTTAGTGTAATTTTAAGCTTTGATACTTGTAGAAATAGAAATTTATTTTTATTTCTTTTGAAGTTTTTTTTTTTCAAAACTAAGTATCAAAAAAAAAATTTTGAGTAGCTGGGGCTACAGGTACAAACTACCTCACCTGGCTTAGTTTTGCAAATATTGAATATCAAGCTTTTAATTTTTTTGTTTCAATGTCTGCCATCTTCAAGAGGGACTGAAGGCCGGGCATGGCGACTCACGCCTGTAATCCTAGCACTCTGGGAGGCTGAGTTGGGAAGACAGCTCGAGCTCAGGAGTTTAAGACCAGCCTAAGCAAGAGCAAGATCCCGCCTCTACTAAAAATAGAAAAATTAGCCAGGTGTCATGGTGTGCACCTGTAGTCCCAGGTATTCTGGAGGCTGATGCAGGAGGATTGCTTGAGCCCACGAGTTTGAGGTTGCAGTGAGCTATGATGATGCCACTGCACTCTACCCAGGGGCAACAGAGTGAGACTGTCTCAAATTAAAAAAAAATAAAAGTGGCTGAAACAAAAATTAAAAGCTTAATATTCAGGAATCAGGCACCTACAGGCACAAACCTATAGTCCCAGCCACTTGCCAGGCTGTGGCAAGAGGACTGCTTGAGGCCAGGAGTTTGAGGCTGCAGTATGCTATGACTGTACCTGTGAAGAGCCCCTGCACTCCAACCTAGGTAACACAGCAAGAGACCATCTCTTAAAAAGAGAAAGAAAGAAAAAAAGAAATAAACTTCCGAATGATGTTTGGTATAGGTTTATAGCATTTATACTTCTGCTGCAGTGCCTTGGAGGGCCCAAGCACACCATATTAAAGCACAACACTGCTCAGAAGCTGCCAGGACACCTTGTGTTTCACTATTTTTTCATTATCATTGGACCACCATGTTGGTTGGCATTATGAAAATATCTTTTAATACATTTATTTACCAAATAAGAGGAAAATTATCAGAAAATGAGAAGCACCATTATGGTTTACAAGAAATGGCAATGTGGACCCCATAGAAGTAGATGATCAATAACTGATACCGTTACATGTCATGAGTTCTTTTAGAAAAAACACCTGATACTTTCTCTGTTTATGGCCCCAAACATGCTAAAATGCTATTAAGTAGTGCTTGCAAAGAAAATGAACAACAAATGTTATCCAGCAGCTTTTTGGTTTAAAATGATTGCCAATGACTAGCAGCTTCAGTGGTTTTATGAGTTGTTAAAGAGTCCCATGTTTTAATGGTAATACTGCATTGATTTTTAAGGTATATGCAGCAATTATTTGGGGGAAGGAGGCAAGAAAAATAGGAAAAACATAAAAGTTATATGAAATAGGCAAAACATAAAAGTATATGGTTAGTGTCTTAAAAGTCTAAAAATTTAAACTATTTAAAAAACCTCACATAGTTCACAGCTATTGGCCTACACAGAAGCAAGTATCTGTGTGGTTTGGGAGCTTTTGCTTTGGAGTGGTTTTTGCAACTGTTTACATTAAAAAGGACAGAAGAGTGTTCTTGACATTGACAAGGTCCCATTCTTTCCTATGGAGTGTAATCCTCGTTGTCCACGAGTCTCTTGAATTTGAGATCTTTCTTTTTGGTGAAAATACTAACTTTGCTGGTTTTTGAGCAGGAGAGGCGGTATTTTTCCAGTCTCTGTAGATGAGGGGTTCATGATGTTATAACCCCTCATTTCTCCCTTTAAGACAGGATGGCATTAGAGCGCCGAATACCAGTGAAATGATCAGCACTCAAAGACCTTCGGATAGCAGCTCTACACAAGTCCTTGTATTTGTCTTCGCACAATCGGGAAATGGCCTAGGAAACGCAATCAAATAGAAAAGAGGTACAATTTTTAATTCCAACCTTTACAAAAGCACCAGTCATGACAAGCCACACATGCACACTCCTTTAGTTTACAGTGACAGCTACTGTGGCTGGGGTTTACACTGCCAGGTTCTGGGGGTGCTACTTCCTGCCAATTCACTAAGGTAATATCCTTTAAGGGCTATGATTAGATCGCCAGAGAAAAGTGGGACTTTAAGTTATTTAAAAATGGGGCTTCCAAAAATGTCAAAGGTGTTGTGACAGGCAGTATCATCTGTTACCTGTGCATTTATTCCTCAAACTAGTTTATTCAGTTATTCAAATTCTACCCAATCCTTATTAGTTATTACAGACTCAAAGCACATTTCGATGAGGCAAGTGTGTGCTGGAGCATAGGAGAGGTCTAATGAGTGAAGTACCAAAAGGTACTACTTCACTCGCACATTATGGTAGAGAAACATATTCTTCTAAAGTACTACAGAAAGTGCAACTTTAAATGTGTCAATTTTAGTTGTGAATAAAAATTGCTGTATACTCACCAAAAGCAGTAAGCCATAAATATTACTTTGCCCCATAAAGTTACCATTCCCATTAAAAACTCATGTATTTCCTATATCCAGTACTTGAAACACTCACACCTTACACAATCTAAGTATAGGTCTAGTCTCTTGGCTTAGCCACTAATGCTCTAATAAAATTCATGGGACCACACGGTGACACCGAGTAGACACTGACATGAACTTACAAACTGAGTAAATAAAAGACAGTCAAGAGTGGTCAGTGAATTGTGTATGTAGATATATTTGGAATATAATTTCAAGAAATTGTTCACGTATGGTTAAGTGAAGGTAGAAGTTCAAAAGGAAAACCATTAAGAACAGATTAAA